CATCAATGGTGATAAACCTAACTGCTTGTGTCCCGACCACTTCTCTCCAATTGATCCGGATGATATCATCAACCAGGGCTGCAAGCCAAACTTTGAAGAACCAAGTTGTGACCAGTACGACCCTGCTGATTATGAGCTGGTGGAGATGCACAATGCCAACTGGCCGAACGGGGATTACGAGAAATTGTCGCCGATGGATGTAGATGGATGCAGACAAGCTTGCATGAATGACTGTAGGTGCTTGGTTGCAGTGTTTGGGTTTGGAGATTGCTGGAAGAAGAAGATGCCACTGTCCAATGGAAGGGTGGATCCGAGCACTGGAGGGTTGGTTATCTTCAAAGTAAGTAAGTCTAGTTACTTGAATGCTTCAAGGAATTCTTCTACAGACAACGGAAATGACAATAAAACCAGGGCAATCATTTCTCTATCGGCCATTCTTGGCGGCTCAGTGCTCATAAACTTCATAGCAATTACGTCTACAATTCTGCTCCTGTTATCCAAACGCAGAAAATTAACCGAAACTAAAACGGAGTCCATTGCAGCGAAATCAAACCTTCAGGTCTTCAGTTATGCTGCTTTGGAGAAGGCCACAGAGAAATTCAAGGACGAAGTGGGTAAAGGTTCATTTGGTTCAGTATACAAAGGGGTACTCGTGTCACAGGGAGGAATAACAGTCGCAGTGAAGAAGCTGAATGGGATGGCGCAGCAGGGTGAGAAGGAATTCATAGCAGAGTTGACTGTGATCGGCCGAACCCATCACAAGAATCTCGTTCAACTGATTGGATTTTGCGACGAGGGGTCTCATCGGCTTCTGGTTTATGAGTTCATGAGCAATGGAACCCTGGCAAGCTATCTGTTTCAGATAGAAAAGCCAAGGTGGGAAAAAAGAGTTCAGATGGCTTATGGTGTTGCCAGAGGACTATCATATCTGCACGACGAATGTAGCAACCAGATCATCCATTGTGACATAAAGCCTCAGAACATACTGCTTGATGATTATTTAACTGCAAGGATATCTGATTTTGGATTAGCGAAACTTCTGATGACTGAGCAAACCAGAACGAAAACAAGTATAAGAGGGACGAAGGGCTATGTTGCGCCGGAGTGGTTCAAGGACAAGGCGATAACATCGAAGGTGGATGTATATAGTTTCGGTGTTGTGTTATTGGAGATCATTTGCTGCAGGAAGAATGTTGAGAAAGATTTTGTGGATGATGAGAGGATAATACTGACAGATTGGGCTTATGAATGCTACACTAAAAGTAAGCTGGAAGAGTTGGTGCAATATGATGAAGACGCCATTACTGACCATCGAAGGCTGGAGAGATTTGTGGCAGTTGCAATTTGGTGTATTCAGGAAGAGCCATCAATGAGGCCTTCGATGAAGAAGGTGACGCAGATGCTGGAAGGTGCAGTTGCGGTGCCGCTTCCGCCGGATCCATCCTCTTTCATCAGCTCAATCAATTGAGGCTCCTGGATATTTGATTTTCTTAGTATTGTTTCAATAGTGTTTTTTT